GGCCGCTCTCTCGGCCGCGGCCTTCGCCCCTCTGCCCTGCTCTTCCCGAAGCACTTGAAGGACCAAGGTCAAGTCGAAAACTGTCCTAGAATGAAAGCTGCCGAGAGCCTTCGGTTCTCAACCTTGACCGAGCCTCCCACGTGGGAAGTTCCTAAAATGCAGACGCCCGGCCCCGCCCCCTGCAGTCAGGCCGTCTGCTGGGGGTGGGGCCTTCACGGGGCCACTAACACCTACCTGGTCCTAAATGATTTACATAGGGCGCTGCCTGGGATGTCCTGGGACAGCCCGCCCCACCCCTTCTACATGTGTACATTTGATTAGCTCCATATTAAAGACGGGAAAACCCAAACAACTGGGGCCTGGAGATAGGGACCCACTTATCTAGGGTCCCACAACTGCAGAGTGGCTGCGCCAAACCCCTAGGAAGCTATTTTCTCCTCCATAGTTGACGAGTTTTAGGGCGTCTCATCTGAAACAAACTGGAGTTCCCATTACTCAAAAACTGGACTGCTTAGAATCCAGGAAACAGGAGGAGGCAGGTGCTAAGACGTGGAGAACTTGGAAGGTGCTTGGCTGCCTTCTAAGACTGGTCAGTTACCGTGACAACAAGTATTGTGTGTTGAGTCACTTAGACCAAAGAGAAAGGGCCACTATAGTTGTTAGCAAGTGCTTCGAAGATGGAAATTCCCATGACTTTAGTGGAGAGTTGGAAACATTTTTTTTTTAAATGGCAGAATATTTTACAGAGAAAATACTAAAAAGTAGAAGAAAATAAAACCAAAAGATACTGTTACATTCTTAGCATCTACTCTTTTAAAAATGATTTAATGTTAAAAGCACTTGAATTCTTCAAGTCTCCCTTATTATGAATGTAACCAGGGTGCTCCTTAGTTTCAAGGACAGGGAATCTTGATCTTAAATACTGTGGACATGTTGTCAGGAGGGGCTATTCCTTGGAAAAGGACATCATCATCATGTGAAAGGTCAGAGAGAAAGGCGAAGACGTCCAGCAACCCTGATTGACACAGTGGGTGTAACAATGGCATCCATGATGGCATGGCTCAGGACAGGGCAGGGTTCAGATCTGCTGCCTTCATAGCATTGTCTTCAGTGGTAGTCCACTCAGTGGCATCTAACAACACCCTAATAAAAATTAAACATGCAAATTAGTGAAACTGGTGTCTTGGCTGCAACTTATCCTCTGAGCTGTGTCATTCCGGGCTCAGGATGCATGATCACGTTTCGTTCCTTTATATAAATGTGCCTAGGTGAGAAAGGGATAAGGAAAGTGATTATAATTTAACTTATCATTTAGAATAAAATATATCTTCATTTCCTCCCATTTCTCTTCCCATCCAACATAGTGAATGAAGGGAGAATATGGCAGTTGCCGCACCACCCCCAAGCTTGACCACTTCCTGAGAAACTTCACACCTGAGCTGGTCATCAAGGACCAGACCAAACAATAGATGCTGATGAGAGTCTGGGCTTGAGAAAACAAAAACAAAAAGCTAAGATGTAACTAAATTAACACGTCAAATTCCAAGAAGTGCCATCTTAGTCCTCCCCAGGACCCCTATAAAAAGGAAACCCCTCAAACTGCCCGCACACCATTTGGATCCTGTCTGCATGCCATGTGGCTGGGTCATTTGGCATCCTTCTCAGACCGTGCAATAAAGGCCTGTTCGTTTCTTGGGACCAGTTTCTTTCTTTATTTCTCTCCCTTGAGCCCTCACACTCTTTTTTTATATCTAACAGTAACCAGGGGGTTTTTGGTGCTGTTTTATTTAGAGTCCACGCACTATCTCAATAGGACAGCTGGCCTGTAAGCAGGATTTATTGCATTTCATAAATATCGAGTGTCTGTTGTAATTAGGTGCTGCTAGGGTATTTTCTGACTCCTGGCCCCCTGTGACACAGCATAGTGTCATATAGGTTTGAATGTTTTTGTTTTGCTTAAAACAATACAAACTTGTTATGGTTCTGGAGGTAAGAGGGCCAACATTAGTCATAGGTTATGAGGTTGGCAGGATTGTGTTTCTTTTGTATACTTCAGGGAGCAATTTGCTTCCTTGCTTCTTAAATATATGAATATTATATTACTATATATTTATATATATTACTTTGGGGATGTTGCAAAGAGTGACTAATGCCTGAGAGGGTAGAGGGACAGCACAAGAGAGGAAGACTTTCCATGAGATGGATTGACTCACTGGTTGAGGTAATGGGGGTCAGTGTCAGAGACAATAGGGTTGGCACAGGATAGAGCAGGGTTTAGGACTGTTGTACATAGGGGCGCTATGAGTGACAAGACTCGATGGCACATAACAACAACAATATAATAATAAATGATGATAATAATATAACATAATACAGTATATAATAATGTTGCTGTTGTTGATTGCCGTCAAGTCGAGCACAACTCATAGCAACCCTATGAATAAAAGACATGAAGCTTGTTGTTGTTTCTTAAAGTTCAGAGTTTTCAGAGGCGTGTTGTTTAGGAAGTGGTTGTGGCTCCTGTTTCCAAATATATATATAGCAAGTATGTACCACTCATAGTTTCTACATCAGCAATTCAGTAACACTGGTTACAGGCTTCACTTTCTGCCCCCAGTCTCACTATATTTGCTCAGATTATTTCACTACCATTAATTTAGGTGCTCAGCCCATTAAAGTTTTCACATGTATTTAATTTTTATCAACTTAAGCTCATTAAGATGTTATTGTTGTTATGTGCCGTCGAGTCGCCTGCAACTCATAGCGACCCTATGTACAACAGCCCTAAACTCCGCTCTGTCCTGTGCCAATCGCACTGTCTCCGACACTCCCTTCCCAATTATCCCAGTCACTGAATCAATCCACCTCATAGAGGGCCTTACTCTCCTGCGCCGTCCCTCCACCCTCCCAAGCATGATGTCCCTCTCCAAGGACCGGTCTCTCTTCACAACATGTCCAAAGTATGTTAGACGGAGCCTCAGAATCCTTGCCTCTAAGGAGCCACCCGGTTTAACCCTTTCCAGGACAAATCTGTTTGTTTTCCTAGCAGTCCATGGTATTCTCAATACTCTTCTCCAGCGCCACAGCTCAAAGGCATCACTTCTCCTTCTATCCTCCTTGGTCATTGTCCAACTCTCCGATGCTTAACAGGTGATTGCGAAGACCATGGCCTGTATCAGACGCACCTTAGTCTCCAAAGAGACACCATTGCTCTTCAGCACTTTGGAGAGGTCCCTAACAGCAGACTTTCCCATTGCAATGCGCCTTTTAATTTCCTGGCTGCTGGTGCCAAGACTGTTGACTATGGCGCCATTAAGATAGTTCTATATAAAGACACAAGACAATTCTTTTTTTTTTTAAATGGGACTACATTTTTACTTAATGATAGCTTCATGGAATAGTTTCAGTTCAAGGTTTTAGAGATTCTTTCTGGGCATTGGATTTGAGAAGGCCCTTTGGTGGTGCAGCAGCTCAGGCTCAGACGCTGAGTGAAAGTTTGACCATGAGAACCCAGCAAGTACACTACGGGAGAAAGGTGTGCAATCTGTTTCTGTTGAAATTATAGCCCTAGCAGTTCTGAAGCATTTGTGCTCTGTCTTGTAATCTTGGAATGTTGTTGTTATTTTCTGGTGAGGCTGGATCGACTCATAGTGACCCTCCAGCAACTTTTCAGAGGTAGTAAATTGCACAGGACTTATTGTCCATCAGTCTCCATCAGGAGGTGGATTCGAACAAGGTGTCAGTCAGTGCAAATCCTTACCAGAAAGCCATCGGAACCCTCTAGAGGACTGTTATGAGCAGGAATTAAATAGACTTGACAACATTAGGTAGATTCGCGTGTTCTCCCAGGCTCA